AACTACAATAACCCCTATGTCAGAGAAAATAATTTGTGGTGGAATAAAAGAACATCCCCAAAGAAGCCCGATGCTTGTGGAAGCAGTGGAAGATCTCTCCAGGCTAGCAGATGTGAAGATTGGAAGATCACTTGTGGCAGGTCATCAAGTAGTATCCATAACAGTGGCCAATGTCTCTAAATGTGAGTAGACACTTAAGAAGGGGGCATTGTTGGATGTGTGCCAGGAGGTAGAGCCAGTCAATGTTAAGGCAAGAAATACGACCATAAAGAAAGACGTCCTCTCCCGGAAAATCTCATAGAAATGCCGACGGACTGAGCCGAAGACCCTGAAAAAATGACCCTTCATCAAGCTGAAGTCAAAATGACTGAAGGAGTTGATGATGGTGAAGAAGAACCAAGTATAGATATTAAAGCAGAACAGGAGAAGGACCAAGATTTGAAGCCAATAATTGATTTTCTACAAGCAAGTGTTTTGTGCCCTGTATGGGAGAAGGTGTCTAGCTGTGACAAAGAACAATTGGGCAGATTGGGACCAGTTGAAGCTTGAAGATGGTATTCTTGTCCGAAGATGGGAACTGCCGACGATAAAGTGATGACCTGGCAAACAGTTATACCGAGAAAGTTACGGGAAGTTGTGCTTTGTCAATCCCATGATAGGTTAACAGGAGGATGGCAGAGATTTTACTGGATAGGTATAAGGCAAGATGTGGAATAATGGTGCAGGACCTGCAGTACATGCTGTGCTAAAAGGGGACCCAAGCATGAGGGACGTGCTTCAATGAAGTTGGCACACCAATGGAAAGAGTAGCCATTGACATTGCTGGTCCATTGCCCCAAACTCGTGCTGGAAACAGGTACATTTGTGTGGTGATGGATTATTTTACCAAGTGGCCTGAGGCATATTCAATACCAAATCTGGAAGCTACAACTGTAGCTTCGGGTATTAGTGATTTCTTCTTCAGGTTTGGTATGCCAAAAGAACTGCATTCAGATCAAGGCCATAAGTTTGAATCAGCTGTGTTCCAGGAATGCTGCAAGTTGATTGGCATACGAAAGACCAGGGCAGCTCCACTTCACCCACAGTCTAATGGGATGGTAGAAAACTACAATTGGACACTGGGACAGGAATTGGCAAAGTTTTGTAATAGCTGCCAAGATGACTGGGATGTCTTA